GAGTCGCGCGCGTCTTCTCGTGGTCACACATTGTTTGTTGACGTTGCAACTCGGAAACACGTGGCCCTATAATAAACCAATAAAATTACAGTAGCTTGTTTTTGACTACTTTCGTGAGTTTGCCGATATTTTACGTTCTACTTCAGAGTATTTACGGAATTTTAGCCACTTTTCTTATTAAAATAGCAAGCAGTTCCTTTTCTGGAATGAATAAAAGAAAAAAGGCGATTATTTTGATAGAGCTGGCGCGAATACACAAAAAGATAAAATCTTCGATAAAACGAAGAATTAAAACCCCGGGTATTCGTGAGCCTGAATAAGCTCGATCAATCTCGATTCTGTAAAAGTATTAATCCTCTAACTATCCGCCATGATGATGAACTATTTTCAATGTTGTCACTGTATGACGTGGCACAAAGGCGTTTGTTGATTGGATGCGCGTTTGCAATCGTCGCGTGTAGAACAAACTTTTTGTTTCTAGTTGCGGTTGAAGTCGCGCCGATTTTCGAGGGAGGATTACTAGTTAACGGGAACAGCCGTCGCGGTTGCAGTCTCCTGCGCGGCTGGAAATCGCATAGTGTGACCAGGGCTTTACTAAACAATTAATTGGAAAAAATTACTGTTACGACTTTCCTGTGAAAGATAATTTAATTTCAAAAGTAACAAACAGAGTGTTAAAAAACACACAAACGGAAGATATTGAATAATATTATTATTATTATTAATATCCGAAAAATAAAAGGTAATTTTTTGTTAGAAAAATAAGACAAAATGTACAGTACCTACTAAATTAGTAAATTATTATTTTTTTACGTAAGTGTTCTGTGTTAGTTTTTTGTTTTTTATTGTTTTATAGTTTATAATAAAATAAATGACGAAAAAAATGTTGTCGTTTATGTGCAACCCTCTTACTGCCACAAAAAGTCGATCTACCGAAATCTACCGAAAATTGCCCAAGGAATCTACCGATGGCAAGCAAATCGACGTGGCAACATTGTCGGCACTAGTGGGCAAATAGTCGGGTCTCAGTCCTTGCACCCGGCCGTCCCCATTGTTGGCCTGGCCGAACCCATGATGGGTAGGATTAAAAGGTCTTCTAAGTGCACACAGAGCAGAATGTTCAAAAATAAAACAGAAAACTACATACTGTAATGTAGAAAATGTATGTCTGTTAATCAACTATATATTGTTAATGATTAAATATACTTTACGACTGAATATGCAAATGATAAAAAGTAACACCCAATCAATCAATGGTTCGAGTACAGTGCATTGAAGTGCCCATCATGATATGTGTATAAAGAGTGATTCTTTCTTAGAGAGATCGAACTTCTTGTGGAGTCTGATTGCACAGATTATCGTTGATCGTGAATAATGCCTCGCCATTGAATTCGTGCCCACTACAACCATATGATGGAGTTTGAGAGGACGTGTCATCGGACTAAAAGTGGATGGATGAACAAATCGACATATCGCCCAAAATTTGGATCGGAGTGATGCGGCAATTAGATGGAGCGGTTTTGAATGGCAAAGTCTAGAGAACAGAAGGCAATGAAAGGCCTAGAGTGACTACAGAACGGGAAGACAGATCGATTGTTCAAGCAGTTGTAACAGCAGCATAATATACCGACATACATACATACCGACCGCCCAACATGTGACCAAAGTGACCACGAGAACTATTCCTAGATGACTACACAACCGGAATCTACGCTTACGGCCCGTAAGCATAGTCAATGACGGTTGCAGTGGTACCGGGCTCGATTAATGCGGAACTGTTCTAATTGGGGACGAATCATTTTCATTGACGTGTCCTGTTTTGAAATGAACCCCGACGACCAGCGCAGATGTGTATTGAGACACTCTGGCCATAGCCGGGATCCCGCTTTTACTGTCGAACGCTACAGGGCCCGACAACAGAGGGTTATGGTTTGAGGTACTATTTTTCTGAAGAGCCGGACCCCTTTAGTGGTAGTCATGGTATCTTCACAGAACCAGCAATACGCTGAGAACATTCTGAGACCTGTTGTGATACCGTTGTTGCAGCATCCAGGACATACTTTCCAAAGAGACTTTCACGTGAGAGGCATGGCACGCCTCTCACGTGAATGTCTGTGTGGTTGTGACATTCTTTCTTGGCAGCCATATCTCTTATCAATTGAGCACATTTGGAGCCTGATGGAGAGTCGCTTCTGACCATCTGGGAATGTCGACGACTTAGCCCATCAATTGAACACTTTGGCAAGAAATTCCTCATGATACCATCCGTCACTTTATGAATCAATGTCACGCCGAGTAACAGCCTGTATTCAGACAAGAGGTGGACCAACATCTTATTAATTTCTTCACTTTGTGTAGCTCTTTCTCTGGAATAAATCATCCAACTATTCCAAAATTATAATTTTTTCCTGTGCATGTAAAATAAACGTACCAAATTTTGTTCCAGTTGGATAATTCCTTCTTGGTGCGTCATTTTTTTTGTCAAAGAGTGTATGGTTATTGAGTTCAATAAATCATCTTGAAAAAAATGATGTTTGCAAAAGGCAATAAAAATAAATAAATATTATTCCTCAAACCTCGTCGATTTAAGTTTCTACACAAATTATCCCCGCATTTCCATTATACATTATCTTTATTATCTAAATTGCTGGTAAATATCTCTCTTACACGTAATTCTATTGTACAAAAAATTCCAAGTCATCACTACGAAGGTCATTCAGTTCTGGAAATCTGCCATTTTCTCTACCTTTGTTTCAAAACAAACGCGATTTAAAACATTTAACCTTAATGCAGTTTTATTATTTTGACTCGAATTAAACATATAAACATTTCAATTAAATTACTCGAAAAAATAAATAAATAAAACAACAAAACTAAAACTAGCTCAAGCAAAACTCGAAGAACCACGGTGTATATTTACGAACGCACCTGTGAAACTCCGAGTTTCTTTTTATAGAGCTCAGTAAATATGAACGCAAACCAATTTTGTTGCATTGTTTTTTTTGTTTGTTTTTTCTCTTGCTACTGTATAATTGTTGATCTCAACAACCGGATACTTTCTTCTTTCTGGATTAGGAAGAGCATGCCAGAGATTTAAATAGAACAAGAGAATGATGTACATACGAATCAGTGGATAAGGAGGGGAGTGGCCACGGCTGAGTCGTGTCTGTGAGTCGTCCGGATTGAGTTTTGTGAGTATATTCCTATATTTGTGATTATAAATCGATTTAAAATGCCATATGGCACCCACGTCACATAACTTATAATTACGCATCTAACTGCGAGAATACTAACTAAAGATAGCATATTACTAATGTTAAGTTTGAGCCGCTGTGTTCTGTTTTAGAACGCTCCTAACATTTATGATATAAATTTATAAAATTTTAATATATAATAATTATTATTTTTANATATCACCTGTATAATTAGAAATATTAAATTAATATGGTAATTACGCTTCGTGAGAATTACATTGCGCTTTCATTTATTTTCAAATGGTCCTCGAAATTGTTACAAAAAAATGTAATTATTACAATTTAATACTGAATTTACGAAAATTAAAATAAAACTTGTATTTAATTGTAAATATATTATAAATTCAAATATTTGAATTAACCAATCGAAGAGCTCCTTTTGAAATTTTGTATATTAACATATTATATTTATTTGTACATTATTATTAATAATAAGACGTGAGGTCTGATTAATTATTTTATTTATTATCACTTTATATTAGACAAAAATAATGAATAGAACAGAAATAGATTGTTAATTCTAATTAATGTAAATGTTTTATTACAACAATGATCACCCAGAAACAAAAATAATTATCCAAAAAATTGAAATTTCAATAGAATGATAATTATTGCGTAATTTTAAGAAAATTGTGATATAAATGCATTAATTATGCAAGAAGCGTTACATCATTATCAGAAAACGAATTTTTATCATAACGAATACATCGAAAATGAAAAGAAAATCATCCGAAAATAAGAGAAATTAAGCATTTTATATGTTAAAATAAATTATTTTAAGTCTCCGGATTCGTATTTATGGCAACATAATACAAAATTTAAATTTGTTTTTATCTAAATGACGTTACCGCTTTCAACGGGAAGTAAAAAGTTTTTCAAGGACCAACTTGCGGAAGAATGGATGTTGTTCACTTTGCCAAAATGGATGCTTTCCAATTTAGTTTTCCTTATTTATAATTCGTTAACATCGATTTAGAATTTTATAACTTATTTCGAAACTTGTTTTAGAGCGTTGACGCTCCTTTCTATAATAGCACCTAATCGAATCGTTAATATTAATCATTTTATTATCTAATATAAGTAATATTAAACGTGTAATTCTGTTGATAAATATTGCTCAACACTTCGAGTTCTACTTTAACGTTGTATAACATGCATTTAAGTTATCTTATTCGTTAATAAAGCGCATGGTTAAATATTACATTTGACGTCATTTATGAGTTTTTTTAATGAGTAGTCATATGGCCCGGTGAAAAAGCCTAATGATCACTTAAAACGTGATCTCTAAATAGGCCTAATGACCACCAGAGGCAGCAGACTCAGGCCTTACATTAACAGATATCTCAAAAACGTGTTACAAATCAATCATTCCACGAAATTTCTTCTGTACTTAAAAGCTTTTTCAGATTTTATTATTTAAAAAGTACTAAAATTCATAAAAAAAAGTGTATTAGTATAATGGTGCTTTAAAAAAGGTAAGTGACCTGACCATTTTCGACTTCTGAATGTCCCAGTAATCATTAGGATTCTAGAGGGCTTAGTAATATTGCAGTTCGCCTATGTGGTCTTATACAATATTTTTAACCATATTATTGAATGAAGTATCGAGATTTACTAAATAATTTTAAAATTTCCCTAACAATGTTTGAATTAATTAGCTCTCTGACTTGTAAGTACCGTACTTTTGGAATCTCTCTTAATGAAATTTAAAACGTGCATTATTACATTTATTTATTTAATTGAATTTATATTGTTAATTGAGATATAAACTAATCATTAAAGGAATCGAGATGCGAAATCGTCAAGATTCTAAACTGGCTCAAATGGGTATCATAGACAGATATTTTCCAGGATCACCTCCGGGAATCGTCAGGTGTTTCCAGATGGTATGTATCTTATTTTATAGTTATTAATTTTAAAAAATTAGTACAAAACACTTACATTTACACAACCGAAATAATAATACAAATTACACACGTAAATTTTTTTACTACAATAATCTTATTTTCTCCATTTTGTGATGAATTGATATGAAGGATCATATATACTCGTATTTTGAAAATTTAATAACTTCTGTTCTATACAAGATAAATGTAATTTGCAAAACGCTTCGGGAAGGCAATTTATTGGAATTTTAATACATTTAATCTCGGATTGTTATGTTTTAAAAAATCTTAAATAATTTTGGATACAAAGCAATGGAGAAGCCAATAGGCAGGATGAAACGTTAAATAACGTGTATCGTCAGTTAAAACATTCTTGTAATATTATAACTTACAAGAATATGTTTTGATGTCCCCCAATAAAATATTTGGAACATTTGGACATTATTATGAAACTTTTATCATTTTTATGCAATGAAATCTGGTACGAATATTGAAAACATGGGTAAAAATTTTTATAACGTCTCAGTGGATTGAGTATGAAATTAAACAAACACAAATAATAACAATAAATAAGTAATAATAATTAATAGTGACGTATCCAGGATTTTGAAAATATGGGTGCTTCTCGAGGACTAAGGCATTGCCCTCTATCGTTTTTCAGAAAACGTAATTCAATTATCTTAGAAAATCTTACTTAAATAATTGCTTTGTTTGATACAAAGCAATTATCAAGATGGTGCTGATGCATCATAAGCACCCCATTAGATTAAAATAAATACAGGAAGAAAAACTAAGATTTGTTTTTTTACCTATTATAGTTAAACTTAACGAAAACTCAAATCAGGTTTAAAATATTACTAAATGTTCAGTAACTGAAATATTGATGTCCAAAACTAAATAATAATTTAAATTAAAAAATAAATAAATTAGCACTATAAAACACTATAAAATAATACACAAACGAACTATAAAGCACTAAAATAATTCACAAATGTCGTATCACTTCGTTGAAAACATTGTCATTTGAACATTGCTACATACTCCAGCTATAGAATGTAAACGATTTCATTTACTGAATGCTCGTTGTGTCAGTTTATCTGTTGTGTACACGTATGAAATCCGCATGCGAGACATGAGGCTAATCTTCGATAGCCTCACGTTTCACAGATATGCCATCTATTAGTCGAAAAAGTATTTAAACCACAGTTTGCGATTTTTTTCAATTTCTTGTGAAAGTCCTGCATTTGGGTAGGGTAAGTTCCTCAAAAGCCTGTTCAGCGTTTTAGTGCTGATACGAAGCATGATACGATTTTGAAGATCCTCGAACAGGTTACAATTTCAAGAATTTTGTACACTGATGCTTCGAGAATTTCTAGTTTCAAAAAACTTTCGTAAAAACTTGTAGAAAAAAGTCTTTGTCTATAAATGCCACTATGTTCTTAGTTACGTTCGGTTTTTTAGTTAGTGGTTTATTATTAACGGAACCTACTTTCTTAAAAGTTTTTATTTTGTAATTGAATTATTGTGTACTCTCTTTTTATTGTAATGAATTGTAAATAACTCAATCAACCAGCATATATAATTCACTTTCTCCTCTATTGAAGCAGTGCTAATAGAGGAGAAAAACCCTATAAGGAGACTATAAATATCTAAAAAGCTAGACAAATTATAAAAAACAAACAAATCCCTCTATATAAAATCTAAAACTGGAATAAATTACTTATCTGAAACATTTTACAGATTATTTTTATCTCCTGTACAACAGGAATTATTAACATTTCACACTGCACAAGAAGTTTATAATGATCCTGAGCGTGTACATTCGATTGATTTACATATGAAACTAAGTATCAAATTTTATAAAATAATATTTGTTTTATCTATTAAATCATTCAAAACAGCTGATAAGTTGAAAGCAAAGAAAATAATACATAAAATACAAACTTAAGCTCGTGATCACGAATGATAGTTCGAAATTTTCATCGTTTGTATATACTGTAATTTACAATTTTGTTTAAAATTTAAATTCAGAGCCACAACTACATTTTAAGACTCTAAAGTTTCATTTCAAGGATATTTTCAAATTTTCAATTGAAAATAGAGAATTCTGTACGGAATTGCTCCTCTATAATTTAAACTTCTTTAAACACTTGTGTGTATTTGTTAATATTTGCACATGGTGCAATTAAAATTTCTGCTATAGAAGAATTTTTTCGATTTGTTATGTACAAATGGCCAACGTTGCGTGTTGTAAATTTTTATGTTAATATCTTTGTTATACATTATTTAGCTTGTTAAAAGTTTATGTCCCATTTGCTGTTGGTACTGTTATTCTTTGAGATTAAATGTTTATCTGTCAACTGATTTGTATATTTCATTTCAGTCCACTTACAAATTGGAATTTTTGCAAGTGGACTGAAATGAAACAGTGAAACATGAATAAAATGAAAACCTGCTAAACTGAATTTTTGTAAACCAGACTATTTTGTATGTTAAATCTTACTATAAGCCGAAAATCTATCCAACGCGGAAACGGAAAAGGATTTTTGGATACGAAGAACGTAACTTGGACTTGGACATGAGCACTTGTCCTTTTAACAATCCTATCGTGGGTTCGACCAAGTCCACGATGGGGCAGACGAATAACGAAAGACGGAACCATCTCGGTGAAATTCCTGGGAATTTTTCTTTTTCCACCCGTCCAAATTCGTTCCCAGGTCCTCGGAGCGGTAGTCGAACATCTTAACCGCTCGGTCATCAGTCATCAAAATTGAATATTTTAAACAATCGAAAACTTTCAAAAAGAGAATGAGTTTTAGAGAATTCAGTTCTCCAGAACAAGGAACGAGTGTAATTTCTGAAGACAATGAAAACAACAAAACAAAGTGCTGCCAACTTGACTTGTATGAATAAGTCAGTAACTAACCAGCATCGAGTATTCGAGAACAAGTTGATTAGCATTGTTAATAATTATGGTAATAACTAATGTATCAAAATTCCATTAGAAATCACATCTAGAGTAACTTACTTGTTAGTCTGTATTACTGTAATGCAATTGGAATTAGATGAAGGCACTGGTTTTTGACAGTCGAATTGTCTTTGACAGTCGAATTTTGCTCGCTGTTGTGGGAGCCACGAAGAATAATGTTTCCGAGAATTCGAATACCTAGCACGAGTTATCGGGAACAACGAAACCATTTTGCAATCGAACAGTTCTCACGTCTTGCATTCGAATGTGTCCACCTTCGATTGTAATCACTTTGAATCAATTTGGATTAAGCCTAGTAATAAAAACTTTTACGCATATGAAATTAGTTTTGTTATTAAAAAATGAACTGTGTGGCATTTATCTGTTGTAGTTTAAGGATTAAAAAAATACTAAAACTTGTTCAAAACGGAAAAAATTTGGTACTGTCAATTCTGATTTACGCAGTTTTACTGTAAAATAATCTTTCTGCAAAAAATTAATATAGGCCTATCTGTCTTTTGAATACGCTTGTAGAAATTTAGTAGATTTCCCTTTTTAAACTTGCAGAAAGCTTAAAATTATACTTAAATTCCAAAAGTAAATTTGAATTGGCATCTTTATAGAAAGCATCCAAATGATTTGCAATGATTTCCGACATGCCCTACCTTTATCTTCTTGTGAAAAATTGTTGAATATCACTTGCATCATAAACCTAGTTGGAACTATTCATATTGTATTTGTTAAAAGTTTCTTGGCACCTCTGGAGCTAAGAATGTTATTGTTTGGTAGCCAGTCATTAAACAGTTCTAACTTTATCTGTAAGGCTAACATCCTGTTGACAGCACATAAATCAATTGGCTTCTATCTACCTAATAATTTCTCACTTAATTTATTAAGATATGCAATAAGACGTTTCAAAAATGTTGTCACAAATATATTCAAGACTATTAAATCTAATTACAGTGGAACCTCGGTATACGTCTGCTTTAGAATACGTCCAATTCGGAATACGTCCTGTTTGGACGAAAGAAATTTTGCTCGGTATACGACTTTTATTCGGTATACGACATAATTCAATTATACGCGCCATCTATGAACAAGTAGCACTATCGGTGTACTACACTAGACTAGACGTTCGCGGTGCTACGGTTTATAACCTTGTTAAATTTTTTCTGATTTTTAATTTGTAAGTAACATTTTATTATTTTTATTAATCATGAATTGCAAAAGGGCAACAGAAAAATAAAAAAAATGACTAGAATCACAACGGAACTGAAAAAAAGAGATTGTTGAAAAACATGAAGGTGGCACGCGTGTTCGAGATTTAACGAGATTTAACTGTTGCATTCCGTATTTCGAGAACGACGAGAACGACGAGTATTTCGAAATACGTCAATCGTGAAAAATGTCAATCGTGAAAAATAGACATTATTAAATTTGCTAACGTTGCGAAAGGGGTTAAATCAATTTCTAAACAGAGATCGAGATCATGTCGAGAAATTGCTTTTGCTTTGGATAACTGAAAAACAGTGTGCCGGCGACAGCGTATCGGAAGAAATTATTTGCGAGAAAGTTAAAAGGATACATGCTGATCTCATGACAAATCAAGCAGAAACTAGCGAGGAAAGCGAAGTGTTTAAAGCCAGCCATTTTTTTTTACATGAGAACGGATTAATCATTTTTACATTACTTCTAATGGAAAAGATTGGTTTGGTATACGTCCTATTCGGTATAAGTCCAAACACCAGGAACGGATTAAGGTCGTATACCGAGGTTCCACTGTATATGTTGTCCATTTTTCTAGAAGAACAATCTTTATTTCCTTAAATGATGACACAAAATGCTATAAAACTTTTTCTACTAAGCGAACGGCTTCCTAATAACGTGTAACATCGTTATATTCAACGATTACATTGGCAGAAAATGTTTCAATCTCTGTTCCAAAGATTGACAGTCATCATGATAATGTCTGCTTGCGCGTTGTTTTTTTTTAATTAAAAAAACTCTTTCCGACCTATGGATATTAAGAGGG